AGCCTGATAAAATAGGTTGGAAAGGCTATGCATTTCCTCTAAGGTTCGAAAATGGTATCATTTGCTTATGTGCACGTGTTGAAAACAGGCTCGTCATCGAGGGGCCAGCCAGGGGGTAACACATGATTTTCAGGGGGAACAGATAGGGGGAGGGTCAGGCGTCGCTAACAGAGTATAAAGGGGGGCGACTGTAGTAAACTGACTGCCAATCAGAGGGGAGCATTAGAATACTATGGAGCCTTAGGGGAGAGGGGAGGATCAGGTAAATTAAATTGTGACACAACCAAAATCCTCCGACAAGTCCCTCTTCCCCCCCCCCCCTTTGCCCCGTCCCCCAGTATACGTAATGAACCGAGTATAAGTTTGAGAAATTAATTGTGTTAAAAGCTCCAACCGAAATCTGTGGTCTTGCTTTTTTTAATTCGTGGATATGCAAGGCATAGGAACTAGTATCGAGGGGATTCAATATGCAAATCTCGAGGCCTTAGCACGGCATTAAGAGTCTGGGAAGAGTGGGTACCTTTATTTAAGTTAGCGTACTGTTGTTAAATATGGAAGATCAGACTAAGGAGAACTTTTGGGGGAGTGACGGTTCATTTCTGTTTTTTGAAATCCCAGGATCAATGGGTTTTCGTACAATCACTGAATAAGTTTATGACATTCTGCACATTTCATGCACGAGTTCATTAGTGTAGTGTCACCTACAGAAGAAATGTTCGTTTTCTATAATTACATTTTACACTGTTATTTCTCTTCTCTTTTATCGGGTTTTACCCAGAAACATTCCGAGAAAAAATTTAACGTTGTTGTAAAATTTTAATAATGTAAACCAGAAAACGACCCACCGTTGAAGAACATATTTAGTAACTTGTTTCGAAGGCGTTTTGATGTTAGAGAAGATTAATAATTGTTCGTTTTGGCAATCCAATGAGCAACATATGAAATTAGAAATTCACGAAGCGCAAAGGATTACTGTTTACTGATTGCCTACCTGCGGTAAACTCCGTCAATTCAGCTTGCATTAGATCGTAAGAAACGTATGGGCATTGGTTGGTTAGCTGCACCAAGTTCTGAACAAAAATCAATTTCACAGTGCGAAGAAACCCTGTATTTGATTGCTGTGTCGTCATTAAACTGCAGCAAGCAGTGAACCACAATCAACGTTGCAGAGCGCGAGAGAACCCTGTATTCGATTAATGAATAAAGAGGGTGTTTTCTAAAGAAACTGTGTTGATTCGTCATTTGGGGGTAATATAAGATAATTCGGTTTCAATAACTGAGTTGATAACGTAAGTTATCCTCTGTAAAGGGTTTCTAAAACTGATTTTTCGAGCGTTGGCCTTTAGAGCAAGTAGGGCTAGCGCTCAAAACGTCAGCTTAGAAACTCCTTGCTATGGCCTGTATTCGATTGCGATCGTTACTTAACTGCAACAAGTTGTGAACAGCAGTCTATGTTACAGAGCGAGAGAACCCTGTATTTGGACAGAGATCATGTGTCTTAGGAGGTGAACTTCTTTTCTTTTGTCTCACGATAATGAGTCACTTTTGATGTCTCTGTCATGTTCTTTTATCTTTTCTCGCAATAATGAGTCACTTTTGATGTCTCTGTCATGTTCTTTTATCTTTTCTCGCATTGATCTCCCAGTTTCACCGATATACACTTTGCTGTATTCACATGGGATCTTTTAAATGACACCGTTTTGTTTTGATGGTTTCTGGGCGTCTTTAGGTCGTACCAAGTGAGAGCTAAGTGTTGTGTCCAACTTGAAAACGGTTCGTATGCCATGATGTTGTAGACAGCGGCGAAGAAACTCTAATACACCCTTAATGTAAGGGAGAACGGCAGTAGATTTACATTCCTACGCGGGTTCTTTGTTGGCTGTTACCATTCTTGTTTTTGCGAGTTTTCGTATAAATGAGGAAGGATAATCATTAGAAACAAGTACTGATGACAAGTGTTTCTTTTCCTCAGAGATAACTAACGGTTTCGTTGTGAAGTGTCTGGCGCGGTCGTATAGACACTTAACACTGACACGCTTCACTGACTGAAGGTGGTGTGAATCATAGGCTAGGTACTGGTCAGTGTGGGTGGGCTTTCTGTAAACAGTGGTAGTAACAAGACCGTCTGAGTCCCTTGAAGCCGTTGTGTCGAGAAAAAGAATGATGTTATCTTCCTCGATTTCCATGGAAAAACGAATAGTAGGCTGCTACTGTTAAGATGCTGTAAAGAGCCGTTGACATGGTCTCGGTCTAAGACTGTGAAAGTGTTATCTACATATCGTTTCCAGATCTTAGGTTTGCGAGTTGCATTTGCTATCGCCTGTTCCTCAAATTCTTCCATACGGTTTGCTCGTACTCAGACCTCTGCGGTTTCGGAGCTCGCTAACGAAACGGGGGATATTCCTATTTGGAGCAAGGTTAAGTTTATTGATCGTGACCACTACTGGTACACACGTAGGGTCAAAGAGGCTATCCATATAAGACTTCATCCCAACAACATTAATAGGGATGGCGGAATCGAAATTCCCGAAGCTTGGATACCCACGATCAAACGACACAACAGCAGCCGATTTATGAGGAC